AAAAAAAAAAAAAAAAAAAACGTGCCGGAGACCTGCACAAGACAAAGGAGTATCCTGTTTCTCTGGAGAGCACGAGACTGAAATACAGAGGATTAAACTGTAGACATTGCTAAGTGCTTCCCGTGTCTTTTATATTAAATTAATGGGAAAAGTAAGAGATCCAGAAGAAACCTTTGGAGATATAAGGAAAGGGATGACCCTCGTGGGATGTTCTTGGGGATGTGCCCGAGGCCGCCGCGGTGTGGACCCCGAGAGCTGGTTCCTCTGGGGCGTCCCTTCCCCCGCCCTCCCCCACCTGCACGGTCACCACACACCTGCGCGCTCACCGCTCACCTGCGCGGTCACGCGGGCGCCGGAAGCAGGACCGGCACTGCAGGTGGGATTCTCGGTGTGGGTGCATGCTGGCACATCGCTTTTATTTGGAGAAACCTCAAAATAGTCCAAGGAGAGAGTGGATCGAGTGGGGTCAACACAGGGGGAGATTTGTGGCGCGGAGCGGACTATCCGGAAGCGGAGGAACTGAGCCTGTGTTCAGTGCGCGGTGTTCACACACTAGTGATGATTGCTCCCCACTCCCGGACACCGGGGCGCAGACAATAACCCACCTTGGCCCGTCCGAGTGTCCGACAGCCGGTGCCCCGGCGGGGCTCCGCGCGGCTCCCGGGGTCGGCGCGTTCAATTCTGGTCCGATCGGAACGCCCACCTCAAGCTGCCGGAGACCTAAATGTGGCGTCGACAATCAGACCCTTGTCCGACCTCGGGGGTTCCCTATTTAGCCGGTGTCTCGCGGATGGAAATGTGCGCACGCGGACGCACCGAGAAGAAAAACGCTTGGGGTGCGAGGGTCAAGGGGTAGGAAGAGGGGGCTGCGGGGGCGCGGGGCTGCGGCGGGGGTGCTCCGGCACTTGTGCCCCCGGCCCCCCTGGCTCCTCCTGCCCTTCTGGCTCCCCCGATCCCTTTGCTCCTCCCCCCCCTCCCGGCCCCCTCGGCACCCCCCGACCCTCCCTGCCCCTGAGTCCCCGGCCCGGCCCCGCCCCGCCGCCGGCTCGGAGCAGGGTAGGCCCGCCCCACCCCGAGTGACCCAAGCCCCGCCTGCCCGGCCCAGCCGCTGAGTCACCGCCTCGAGGTGGGGCCTCCGGGCGCCGCCTCCCCGCCGCCTCCCCTTTTGTGGCGCCGCCCGCGCTCGCGCCCCACTCTCTTGCGCGCCCCTCTCCGCGCACTTCTCCTCTCCGAGCGCCGCTCCTCCGATCCCCGCTCCTCCGCCCCGCGCCTCCTCTCCGCGCCTCCTCTCCGGTCCCCGCGCCCGCGCCGAGATGCTGCGCTGCGGCCTGGCCTGCGAGCGCTGCAGGTGGATCCTGCCCCTGCTCCTGCTCAGCGCCATCGCCTTCGACATCATCGCGCTGGCCGGCCGCGGCTGGCTGCAGTCGAGCAACCACCAGGAGACGTCCTCGCTGTGGTGGCGATGCTTCCAGGAGGGCGGCGGCAGCGGGTCCGCCGAGGAGGGCTGCTTTAGCCTCATGGAATACGGTGAGTGCCGCCGCCTCCGGGAAGCCCTCCGGGCCGCGGCCGGGCGTGCGCCGGCCTGGGAGCGCGCGGCCTCGTGACGCCGCCGGTGTGAAGGGCTGAACAGGGTCCGGAGTGATAGGTGATTCAAAAAATACCTGTTTAGAGCTTGGGTTCATGCATCCGACCAGAAGAAAAGAAGGCAGTAGCTTAGGGTGCCCAGACCAGGCTCAACACGGAAAGAGAGCGGTCCTAGTTCAAACTGTGTTTTCTTGGAGGGGTTTGTCGGTTACGTGCTGGAGAGGATTCCAGCCACTGAAAAGGGTCTAGGAGTGAATATAATGAACAAAGAGTATTTTCTTGGAGGCCTGAACTTTCTTCCATTCCGCCGCCTCCGGCTCTTCTCAGGATTAAAATACAAGGGTTAAGTCGCGGGCCTTCGGGTCGCTGTCTGGTTCGTTTACCCCGAACCAAGTGGCAGCGGCTCCTCCTCCGTCAGAAAAGCCGCTTCCGTGGGAGTTTCAGCGGCCGCGACTCCAGGGGATCCGGCGGTGTTGACCCTCCGGGCTTGTGCTTGTCAGCTCTCGGCCCCGGGTGTCTTTTGGCTCAAGCGCGGCCTTGCTGTTCAGAGAACTTTGTTTTGATCTGATTTGAAGTCTGAACAGCAAGCACATCTTGTACACCCCCAGATGAAGCGGAGTTGACAGATTTAATATTTTGCAGGTGGAGGATTCGTCTGACTTGTTAGTTGAGTGGCAGGAGGAGCGGGGTCCTGTGGGAGCCGCCCTCTGCCTTCTGTAGATGTGCGCGCGGCTGGGTCTGCGGACAGGCGCGTTTAAGTGGGTAATCAAGCTTCAAGCCGAATACCGGGGAACCGGGCCTTCTCGACCGAGCTGAACAGGTTTAAACGAGAAGGAAGGCGCCCCGCCTCTCCTCGTTCCCTGCTGGGACCACTGACTTGATTCTTACTCTCCCCCCAGTGGCCCCGGGCTGCCAACCGCTCTGTTTATTTGTGGCCTGTATCTGGGCTCCTGCTGCATCTTATCTGGGGTGGAAGTGTTTGGAAGTTCCCACTGTGAACTTTCCCCCAAAAGGAGGCATGGTCCTCATTAGCGGGTAATAAAATGTGAAGACTGAACCGAATTCCTGCTTTCCTGAAGGTCTGTGTTTTTCCTCTTAAAACAGAAACAGCTGCCCTGCCAGGGTCTGTATTATCCCAAGTCTTTTAGGTTTTTAAAGGGAATTAATTTCTTTGAAGCAATATATCTGTATCTTCTAGTTAAAATGCATTCAAACTCAGTCTCTTGCAGGGGACTTAGGCCTGCTTAAACGGGTGTGTTTTTAAACAGACTTGGATAACCACACCTCCCTCCAAAGACTACACAGACCCAGAGGACACTCAGCAATCCTGGCACGTGAAGTGAGAGGGTTAGCTTGCCCAGGCAGAGGTGCTGGCAGAACCACCCCCAGTTGCTGGGACGGGATCTGGCCTGCAGGGCTGGGCTGAGAGCACTGCCTCTCGTAAAACACGCACAATGCAGGCTTTCTTTTTCTTGACTTGCAGGATGAGCTCACCTTCCCAGGGTGTGGCTCTTCCAGCTCAGACTGATACAGTGTTTTTTACACGGAAGGGAGTAAGCAGGTTTTGTTTCTCAGTTTAATTTTTTAATTAGAAGTCGAAAGCATTAACTTTTTTAATTGTAAAGAAAACGCTGACCCAGTGTATAGTTTATGTTTCAATTTGATATAGAAATTGGTCTTTGTGACCTTTGCAAAGATACTTAATGCCAAAAACATGTTCAATGTGGCTTTTGCTCAAGACATAGAGTCAAATCATGCATCCAAGATCCTCCGTATTAGGTGGCCCTGGGAAGAAGAAAACGGGTGAGAGTCCACCGGGAAAGCCTGTCTCAGCTACTGGAGTCAGAGAGGAGGTGGAGTGTCATTACGTTTCTGCCCCATCTCCTCCAGGGACTGTTGGTGAGTTTGCCCCACAGTGTAGAAGCGTGAATTCCTACACTGTGGGGCAATTATCTAGGAGTCTCTGGACTCCTCAGATCTTCAGATGGCTCCAGTAAGGCCTTGCCGAAAACAGTGTTTACACCCGTCATATATGTTTACACCAGGTCATACGTTATCTGAAACGTGGTAAACAGTTTACACACCCCCACTTGTGTATGTGCAAACACAAGGGGTGGTTGATGGCTCTAATTAAAATGCTGTCTCAATATAGAGAACTGTGTGTACATCCACTTTGTAAAAACTTGTTGATATGTACTAGAAAATAAAGGCTGTGATTTACCATTGTAACTGTTACAGTATACAAAAGAAAGTATACCTTTTTATTACACTGTGCTTGGCCATTTCTTTTATTAGATGATATCGATGTCATTAATATGTTCATTTGGTGTTAAAGACACAGCTTATTCCTGGCAAGTACTGGTATTAAGACTAAATAATACAGGTGATTTTTATAAAGGTAAAGAATTCCTTAGAATTATGTAAAAAGCAGAATAATATATTCTGCACTGTTATTAAGTTTTTAAAAAAAAATTTTTCAGATTACCATATCACCTCATTTTTCCTCATAAATGAACCACCTTATACACAGAATATTTTCTTTTACATGATAGTAACAACTAAATAAATACCCAGTTTTACAGATACTTGTTTGAATTTTTAAAAAATCATGGTTTATATTTCTCAAAACAGGAAAAGAAAATTTAGATTCAAACATTGAAATGATCATTCAAATTTCACATATAAATAAAATGCAAGATTAAATTTGAATGCGTGTCCACGCATACTGTTTTTGCACTGCTGGCACCTTCTTTCCAGTTTTAAGAGAGAACACTCAGGAGGATATTTTCAGCAACAGCTATGTAGATTTCAGGTCGGAGCAGGCTCCAGCCTGTCCGGCGAGGCTGGTGGGGACTAGTTTCTGCGCAGGAATGACAGCGGGAGTCACTGTGGCGTGTTCCAGAGTTTGCCTCGGATCCCATTCAGATGCTCAGAGTCTCGTTCTCAGCAGAGACGACACCCTTTGAATCCACAGAATGTGGCGAATGTTGTTTACATGACATCAGCCTTGGACAAGTCAAAGAATCAGAGTATTATACGAAATATTTTTAGGTCACTTAGCCCTAAGGATCTGAAATGAACAGGAAATGAGAAAAATACGTTACCAAGTTAATAGGTTTACATGAGGCTACATTGAACTTAAGGGGCTTCGTTTTGAGATTATGCTCCTGGGGTTTTGGGGGGGGCAGGATGAGGTACTGAAGGGTTCTTTTATGAAAAGGCATTCGTAGATAGATGACTCTTGGGGGCATGTGTTTTAGTCTTTACGTAGCCAAATAACAAATTGGCCACTCTTGATTTATTTTCATAATTAAAAAAAATATATATTTTGGTTTATAAAACCTAGAAGACTAGGCTCTGGTGGTCCAGCGAGGGCCTCGGGCCTTTTGGGGGCCTGACCTGTCTTCTCCCCGGAAAGGGGCCGAGACTGGCAGACCACTGGAATTAGGGAGGCGAGGGCCCCGCGTCTGCGGGCTCTCACCGGAGCGCTAGTCCACACCCGACGGCTCCGGCTTCTCCTTGTTCGGCGACTTCGTTCAGTTCTCTCCACGATGCTGTTTGTTTACAAGTTCTTCTCTTCTACCGACGGAGCTGAAGGTGCGTCCCGCAGATTCTACCCTCCAGCCTCCTCCGACCGGACGGGCTGTCTGATGTTGGAGGGGAGGTCCTGAGGTCCCCGAGTTATCTTGTCTGCGCCCAGGGCGCAGCCCTGGGTTCACGTCTTCCTGAGCAGGGCGGTTTCCCGCGCAGACGTGAAAGGAAGCCCGTGCAGGGCCGATGTCGTGGTTCTGTGAAGCATCGTTCCAGATGCTTCTGGAAGCTTCTGCTGGAACTGAGCTTCTGGAAGCTCAGTTCCAGCAGAAGCGCCGAGCGTGAAGGACTCGCACCAGCGTTCCTCCTGCCCTCGCATCGCTTCTTCCTGGGAGATTTCTTGGGAGGCCTGGTCACGAGATCCCAGGTGATGGCGAGCGTTCTGTTTCAGGAGCACGGCTTCTCTTACTGCGATGACCTCCTCGTTAAACTGCCGCAGCCTTTTCAATATGTCATCCACCCGTGCTGTGTCCCCTTGTAGACAGGATCTTTTTTATTTTTTAAACTATGGCTTTATCCGGTTTTCAGTTCTGCCTGTGAATGACATCAGGAACCCTCTGAAAACAACATGAAGAAATCTGACCAAAATCAGATTCACCAGGTGGGGCCTTAGAATTGTTAATAGCTGAATCCTTTGTTCTGGAAAGCACCCGCTCGGGTTGGGCAACAGCCTGGTGTCTGCAGGGCACTGAGTGAGAGGTCGGCCACAGACTGTTTTGGTCGATGTTTGGTGTCCACGTGTAAAACTACTGACGAATGCAGCAAATCCATTAAAAGAAATCCTAACTTTGGGGGAAAAGTTAGTGACAGTCTCCAAAATATTACCCACAACATTAAACATATTAGTAGTGCTCTCCTTGTCTTAAAATAGAAGTTTTTTTGTTTCTTTTCACAAGCTTCAGTTTGATTTATGGTTTCTAGCTTGACGTTCAAGGTACTTATTTATTGTTACTTTTTGCTCTTTTCTTGTCAGTTGACCTTACTGGTCTTTTCTCAGCTGTATTTGCCCTGTAACATTGTGTTTTCCTACGTCATCTCTGGAAAAAGATACAGCGTTCTTCCTCGTGCAGAAAACTTAAAAACATGTCCCAGGAAAAACTCAGAATTTCATTAATGATCATTGAATGGTTTCTGTCTTGTTGACTTAACGTTGAATCTTTGCAATCGAGAACAAAATTTGATAAGCTACTCTTCATCTAAATGGATCTTTAAGTGGCTTAGTGGTTAAGTGCTCGCTCTCATCTGCTGGTGGCCCGGGTTCGGATCCCGGGCGCACACCGATGCACCGCTTCTGCCATGCTGAGGCCGCGTCCCACATACAGCAACTAGAAGGATGTGCAGCTATGACGTACAACTATCTCCTGGGGCTTGGGGGGGGGGGAATAAATGGATCTTTAACGAATCTAAATTATAAGTAAATTTATAATGCTGCTGCTTTCTGTGACAATATGAACTTCTCCAAGTGGTACTTAGAAAATAAACTTAGGACAGAAAAGAATATGTATAACACCAAACTGATCTTCCCTTAAGGAAACAAAACAAACAGAAAACCTTTCTATACAGAAACACGGCATCTGTTTACCTGGTAAATGATAATTGGCCTTGATAACTGAGGGTGAGACTCTTCCCCACTCTCTCTCATAACACCCACTCACACACACACACACAATCAGGAAAGGCAATAACATTTAGTGTATAAAATAACAGTGAAGGACAGACTTGTCTTCAGAATAAAGATAGACAGTCTGCCTTCTAAGTACTGAGGACCATCTGTTGAATCATCGAAGAAGTTGCTTTAGGATAAGTTTTAAAAATTGATGTTTTCCATTGGGATGCTCTCATGGTATAGTATAAAAATATAAATAGTTCCCTAAAGGGTTGGGTAAATTTGTAGGTATTAGGCTCATTCTGGGTCATTAAGTGAGGCCAAATGTCCTTAGGGTACAGAGTTATGGAGAATTGCCATCTCAGTCTGCATGGCTGTCGGCCCCCTTCTCAGGCAGAATATTGGGCTTGGAGCCCTGCGCAGACCTGGTGGAGCCCGTGTCATCATTTGACAGCAGAGTGGTCGCGACTTGAGAAGGCAGAGTGCTGTGCTCGTCACTCATTAGTCAGGACCTTCAACCACCCCGAGATTTGTCTTAAATGATCGTGAAATGATTCAGTAGGTGTTTCTGTGCAGCAGGAGCAGGTTTTACATGTTCTGTTTCTCAAGACTCAGTGTCCCTTAATTTCCATTTTGATTTTCTTTAGACTCAGCCTTTTAAATAAGCAAGACACTAACTGAATTGATTTGACACAGTGTAAGAGAAGTTTGGCTCTAGGTTGGGGGAATTGGTTACTATTTCTTTTATTTAATTCCTTTCAAATACCTGAAACTAAGCGTAAATTACACCTCAGCTGTGATGTTAGAGGAAGTAGTAATAGAACAATCTAACTTTGTATTAATTATCCTCAAGTAAACAAGTAAAATTATTGCTATTACTGTTTATAGCAACATCACACTATTTAGCTATACTTCTGAAATCTTAATCTGTGATTGTCAAAGTTTGGTTATTGAAATATGTTTCTTGTTAGGATGTTTTTCCTGTTTTTATTGAAACTTCACACCTGCTGTGCAGTTTCTCTACATCGTGTCTGCATTCCTCTGCACGCGTCCACAGAGATGTTGCTTTTCACTGCACAGATTTGTGAACTCAAAGGAAAAATCAGTGTCTGCTTATTTGAATTGAGTAATTGGATTTAGTTGAATTTAATGATTGGCAGCAGCCATAAAACTCTACAAAAATGAGACTATGATTGACAGAGGGTCGCATACTGAAAGCTATGTCCTCAGTTTTGGCAGTGCTGCCTCTGTTTTTATGAGGAGATTAATTGTCTGTCTTAGTGCTGGAACTTCAGTGTGGATGTAAGAAATACCAGGGAAATGCGGATTCCTGGGCACTGCCTCTACAGCTCTGATTGAGTGGGTCTGGAGGGAGGCTCAGGAGTCTGTATGTTTAGTAAGTGACAGTGGTGATTTTGACTCAGTGGTCTGTGGGCTCCACGTTGAGATGATCTATTTTACCTTGCCCCTAAAATCTCTTATTGATCTCACAGGAAGAGCAAGAAGATTTGGAGGAAAGTAATGAAAATTATGAATGTAAAACTAGGCCTGTGCCGTCCCAGCCCCATCCCGACCGGTGCTACTGAGGGGTAATTTGTGGGAAAACATGGTGTTTCTGAGACATATAAACGTTTCTTCTCCTTGGTAACCTGTTATGCCCCAGCCACTCATAAGTCCAGAGGAGGGTGTGGAAGGGGTGTGGGGACAGGGACTTGGCTCGAGTCTGTCTGTGACGGATGGAGATGCAGACATGCGGGGGTAACTGAACCATCTTTGTGTGATGTTTCGGAACCTCGTGGAGGCAGAAGGAGGTGAAAACTCGAGGTGCGAATCCATGAGGAGCTTGGTGAACAACCAGGGCTGGAGGATTAATAGCTCCCTGGCTTTCCACAAAAGAACTCTCGTCCTCACAATAACCCTGAAATAAGGCGTTTTTGGCCTTGGTTACAGATGCCTGGCTGACAGAGGCAGAGGCAGCGTATAGATGAGGCCCAGCTGCCTTCAGAGCCCTCGCCCTTCCTGCTCTCCTGTGTCTTTGTTTAACTTGACTAGTCAAATGACCTAGAAGTCAGTGAGGTAGACTCAGCAGCCAAGCCATGTGGGTGGGAACAAAGCCAGGGCAGAGGCATGTGTAGCTGTCCTCAAATGCAATGAAAAGTAATAGCCTAAGTGTGTGTGCTCGTCCATCAAGGAGGGAACGGATAAATAAGATTTGGGCTATCCAGACCATAGAATGTTTTTTGACCATAAAGAGGAATGAGGTACTGACACCTGCTACAGCATGGAGGAACCTTGAAAACGTCATGCTGAGTGAAAGAAGCCAGTCACAAAAGGCACACAGCATATGATTCCATTTATGTGAAACGTCCAGAATAGGAAATCCATACAGACAGAAAGATGAGTGGTTGCTGGGAGCTGGAGGAAGGGGGATGGGAAGTGACCGCTAATGGACATGGGGCTTCTTCGTGGGGAGAGGAACATTTTGGAATTGTAAGTGGTGAATATAGTAGAAACCACTGAATTGTACACTTTGAACGGGTGAATTTCATGGGATGTAAGTTATATCTTAAAAAAGAGTCTTGTTTTTAGACTCTTTTTTCTGTTTCTAGAAGTCAGACTCTGCCTGGGCCCCTTAGCAGCTGTGTGGCTATGGGTGGGTTGTTTGACTTTCAGAGCCTTATCAGGTCCTCAGTTCTGAAGAAATGATGAATGTGAGCCTTCAAACACCGGTGTGACATTAAGAGAGCACGTCTAGTTCTTGGCCCAGTGCCAGGTGCCGAGCAGTCCCTTCACAAACGTTGGTTATTACCTCTGGAGGGAGGGTGTGTGAAGAGAGGGGTGCAGGGTGAACACGGGAGGTACTGACTGGGGTTGTCAGCCCGAGGGTCACGGTCCCCCCATGTGCACGGGTGCAGAGTGGATTGCACAGGGTGGGAGGTGCCCTTGTAGATCTTCAAACCTAGAACTCAGCTCCCACCTCATCCTGACTGCTGGTAGGGCCAGTATCAATAACTAAGAACTCTGCAATGAACTCTGAATACTTCAGAAGTTAAAATTTAGGTGAAAATTGAGACAGGTTGCTTGCACCTAGACTTGTTATAAAAATCACAGCTACTTTATAATTAAGTTGTTTTATTTCACATCTCTGCCTTGTCATAAGTATATATTTTCAATGATTATTTTTGCAGAAACCAAACATTAATATAAAACAAAGATCTTTTTAAAGGAATTTGAAATATTTCCTAAAAAGACTGTCATTTGGATTGTTCAATAGCAAAAATGTTGTTTATTAGGATCATGTTATGTTGGAACTTGAGTGAACCTTTTAAATATACCTGTTTATATGGGCAATTTATGAAATGAGAAATAGTTTAATGAGGTTTCAGTTCCATTTCAGAGATATAAACATTTGCCCCAAAACCGAGGGGAGAAGGCGTTACTGTGAATCAGTATATAAACCTCCTACATCTGTGAATTCTTCCCTTGAAACATGGAGATGCTTAAATATTGTCAAAAGGAAAACTGTCCTTCCACCCAAATATAATTCTTAGAAAGAAGAGAGCTCCGGGCGCTTTGAAGAGTGGTCCGTGGACCTGGCCTGTCCGTCCTGCTAACTGCCCTTTCCCTTCCCTTGCAGCGTGGGGCAGGGCAGCCGCCGCCATGCTCTTCTGTGGCTTCATCATCTTGGTGATCTGCTTCATCCTCTCCTTCTTTGCCCTCTGCGGACCGCAGATGCTGGTCTTCCTGAGAGTCATTGGAGGCCTCCTGGCCCTGGCAGGTAAGACACTGTGTCGGCAATTCTGCATCACACCTTCGGCAACCGGAGTGTACTAGTGTCCAGTCCACACAGAAGACGCCGATTACAGTTCCTGATCTGTTCTCAGTAAACGTGTCCTCAAGGGCAGAAGTAGCAGAGGGGAGCTGTGTTCCAGGATCTGATCCCTTTCCTCTGTGGTATTTCCTCAGAGGGTGTTCTGTGCTCCCCATCCACGCGTGAGCTGCTCTCTCTCTTAGGTGACCCTGTGTCCAGTGACACCCTTCCCCCAGGGACCAGGGCTGTGTCAGCCCTGGAGGTGCAGTGTCTCCACGGTGGCCTAGTGCTGGCCTCCTGTGAGCTCTGTGCCGAGGGGACTGGAATCTTCCAGAACCATCTCACTTGTTGAAGGGGTTTTTCGAGCTTCTGATGTGGTGGGTCACGGGAGGGTGTTCTGCAGGGGCTGGGGACCCTGGCAGGGGCGGGGTGCGGAATTGCCTCCTTACAGTGGAGAGCTAGTGCTGGGGCCGGGGAATCTAGTGATGCAGGAGGGTGGGGCTCAGAGTGAACACTTATTAATAGAATACGAGAATTAGAATCTCGGAGGAAGAAGTATTTGAGGTTTTAGGCAGGCACGTGGTACTGGGGGAGTCTGTCAGAGAAGCAGGGTCAGCTTTAGACGCAGAGTGGGGTTTCCTGAGGAGAGAAAGAAGCTGCTTATAAGAGCAAGGCTGCAGGTCATTTCTCAAGATGCCAACCTAGGCTCCTGGGACTAAAGCAGAAAGGCAGCCACAGACCTGGGTACAGACACAAAGTGAGCGGATGGTCTTGACAGGTAAGAAGCCTCGTGACTGGAAGGGTCCGTGAGATCGAGCATGAGCTGCAGGAAGACGGCTTTGGGCTGGGTTCCCTGTGCTTAGAAAAATTGAGTTCACAGACTTAGGGCAGGACAAGCGAGGGCGAGAAGGCCCGGCTGGGGGAAGGAGGGGCCTCAGAGAACCAACCAGTGGGGCCCCGCCCTCACCTGTACATGGAAAACTTTCTCCTGATTAAAAATAAGGTTTACTCCAGTGTCCCTCATGTTTCAAAGTTGGCTTTTGGAATAATATTTTAAAGTCAGAAACTGCTGGAATCACAAAACATAAGGAGCCTTGTTGCATCCACCTCCACTTCTGTTTGGTGTTTTGTAGTTCAGACTTATGAGACCTTATCGAAGAAACACATTTGGTGTAGCTTCCTTTCACATGTCTCACAAGACTAGACAGATGCCTATTTAAATCACCATTAGAAGTAACACGCTAGGACATTAACGGTCACTGAAAAGTCATAGTAAATGCTGTATGACCCAGCAGTTCCACTTCTAGGTATATACTCAAAAAAATGGAAAGGGACTTGAACAGATATTTGTACACTCATGTTTTTAGCAGCATTATTCACAGCACGCAAAAGGTGGAAATGCCCCAAGTGTCCATCAGCAGATAAATGGGTAAACAAAATGTGGTCTGTACATACAATGGAATGTTATTCAGCCGTAAAAAGGAATAAAGTTTTGATATATGCTACAATGTGGATGGACCTTGAAAACATGATGCTAAGAGAAATGAGATAAACACAGAAGGACAAATATTTTATGATTTCACCTATATGAAATACCTGGGAGAGGCAAATTCATAGAGACAGAAAGTAGATCCGAGGTTACCTGGGGCGGAGGGGCGGGGGTAATGGGGACAGAGTTTACGTTGGGGATGTTGAAAAGTTTTAGGTATAGATAGTGGTGGTGGTTACCCAACATTGTGAATGTATTTAATGTCCCTGAATTGTGTACTTAACAATGGTTAAAATGATAAATGTTATGCTGTGTATATTTTGCCACAATTAAAAGTGTCCTAGTAAAACTCTTTCATCCATCTTAGCATTAAAACATTAAGGTCTGGTAATGGCCGCCTTGATGCTTATACCCTGCTCATACTCTGCGACATGGCAGTGCACACATGGAATATTAAATAAAAAATGCATAACGTAGCATAGCATGTATGTACTCATTATAGCTTTATAGAATTAGGCATGCTCATTGAAAAAGACCACAAATGTAGATTTAACAAAGTTCTTTTTATTTTAAAGTGGCTTAAAATATTAATACAAGGATTAATAATAATTGTAATGATGGGACTCCTCTACCAAAGAGTTGAGAAATCTCCTTGATGTGCTCCTTCCCATTTCCTCCGTCACACTTCCCTAAGGCACTGGGTAACCCTCTTTTAATTCTATCCCCCTGCCCTCCATCTCCCCATTTCTCTTCTTCAGATTCCCACTTCCTCTGCAGGCCTTTCTTGAGATTCTCTGCATGGATCATTCCCATCATCGGTTCGCTGTTTCATTCATTTATTGAATGAATGTTCCAGTGATGTATTACTGAATATCAACATCGAGTTGTAAATGTGTGTCTGTGTGTGCACACACATGTGTGTAGGCAGAGATGTGATTTTTGCTAACACTGAAAATATTAGCTATGTGTTTGGCACAGGAAATAGAGAGACGAGAAAGTAGACCCTTCTTTACTGTCCTGCCCTCTCTGTGCACCACGGCTTTGCACTTTTACTTTCGTATGTGCGATGCCTGCACACGTGCTGTAGAGAGAGTCCCCAGTGGATTTCTGATGGTATTTCATACATTCAGTGCCTGACATCCCTGACACAACATCCAGTAGCATTTTTTGGCTCATGATTAACTAGAGGCCCCCAGCCCCTTTCCTTAGCCTTGTTTAGATGGATTTAACACTGATTTTAAGGCAGAAACGTATGGAAGAGGGAGTTAATCTGTTGTTACCATGCACTCCTTCATTCGTTGGTGCATTCATACTCTGGGATTTTCTCTTCCCCTTAGCGGTGTTCCAGATCATCTCCCTGGTCATTTACCCCGTGAAGTACACCCAGACCTTCGACCTTCATGCCAAAGCCAGTGTCACCTACGTCTACAACTGGGCCTATGGCTTTGGGTGGGCGGCCACCATCATCATGATCGGCTGTGCCTTCTTCTTCTGCTGCCTCCCCAACTACGAGGACGACCTCCTGGGCAACGCCAAGCCTCGGTACTTCTACACGTCCGCCTAAGGAGGGGAAGGAGGAGGGAGTCGCTGCTGCTCGGGGGACCTGGGGGAAGAAACAGTTTCCCCCAGAATACCTGCAACCTATTAAACTAGTCAAAATGCTAACATAATTTGGGAGAAAATATTTCTTAAATGGTGTTATAGTTTCATAGTCATCTTTTATATGTTTGTAGAGTTAAACAAGACTTACTTCTTTGAACTAATTACTATAATATGCCAATATTTCCTTATGTCTATCCATGCCATTTATACCACATTTGTAAAAGAATGTGAATGTGAAACTTACCACTTTATAAGGTAAAAATGAGAAGGCTTCAAAGATTTAAGTAATCTGATCAAGTTTCTGTTTTTCCCAGATAGAATGGACTGGGTTTGTTAAGGGCTAAGGAGAAGAGGCAGATATTGGTAAAACTGTCAATGACCAAATATTCTAAGAGAAATGCAAAAAATAAATATTTTTTTAAGCGTTCAGCTATTTAAAGAAGCAAAATAGTTTCCTAAATGCATATCGTTTGTGAGAATTTCTAATTAATATCCTAAATAATGGATTTTTTGCCAAGCTTCACGTTAACCTGATATGGCATCTAGGAAAGTATTCTTTCATGGCCAAAGGCTGTTGCAGTAGTGGGGCCTCCTTATGTAGCGAAATGTTAAGGTGAAATTTCTCTTTTAAAGTGGTTTATAGGGTTAGGGTGTGGGAAAATGCTGTGTTGATAAGTCTGTACGGTTTTGTGTCTGTATGTTCAGAACCAAAGTAGGTTGGACTGAAAGATGGCCTGGGTCTGGTTCATCGCGACCCATAGATGTGGTAGGCTGCTCGGTAAGGAGGGCCGTTCCTGTGGCAGAAGGAGAGGAGGTGGCTGAGTTTTCCATCTCAAGGTGACTGGGCTCTGACCGTGCGGATACAGCTTCTGCTAGGCTAGGCTGCCTCTGTAAGCAAACACGCATAGCTGAAAACCTGGTCTTCCCTGGTAAACAATTTAAAATATCTGAACATGCAGCAGGGGAATTCAGGGATGGGAGATTTCTCTGAATGACAAATATATGATGTATCGCATGGATTATTATTTTTTTTTTACCATTTGTACTTATATAATGAAAACCAATTCATGTTATATATCAAATTCTTATTTTGTAGGTTGCAGAATAAGCAATCGCAGTTTTCAACATGAATATTTCCCAATAAACCAGGTGTTCTACTCTTGTTTCTACTTTGCAGTCCTGTTTTTTCACATCTGGGGAAGGGGGTTTTTAAAGATGCTTTGGGTGGAGTGGTAAGAGCATTGGATAAAATGAAACGTTGCTGGTTCTTAGTTTTAAGGGTCTTGCTCATTTTTGGTGTCCAGTAACAATTTTGAATGCGCTTTAATGGATTCTCGTAGTCTGAGTCCCTGAATTCTCCCTTAATGACCAGTTGAGGCCCAGCACACAGATATCAGATGGTATCTACCTGGTGCCGCCACCAGAGGGAAATGGACTGAGGTTGCCGGCCCAGCCAGACGCCGGGGGCTGCGTGTTCTGCAGCTGCAGGCTCATCCTCTCTCATCTTCGTGGCACAGCTTCCCCTTGAGATGGACCTTCTTCACGTGGGTCGAGGGGCGGCAGGCCGCTCTCTCCTTCTTTTCCTCTTGCCACCTCCTGTTGGATGGCTTTTTTCTGCCATTGGTCATAGGTTAATTCTACTGTGGTGTCTATAAATGTATATAAAGTTATTCCACTATGGTGTATATAAAGAAGGCTTGCAGTGTGGCATGGTGGGAGAATGGAGATATTTCCTGTTTGTGCCTCTGTTGGCCAGTTGGTTCTTGGCACTGAATCTTCTGTGCTTTTCAAAATACGAGGTGAATGTTTCTCATCATAAGTTCAGAAGTATGTAGTCTAGGTAATTATTTACATCAACATTAAAAAAATTTCTGTGACATGTAGGGGATTTGAAGCTATAATTATGCCATCTTCTCAAATAATAGCAGAGAATTCAGGAAGAGGATGGACACATAGAGGTTAAGAGGCTGGGTCTCCCATCACACGTGAAATGACTCGCAGGTACAAGCAGGCCCTGCTGTCTTTGGATTTTTCCCATCCAACTTTCTTCTTCCCCTCAGTAAATAACACTAAATCCTAATGATTGACCTTTAGGAAAAATACAGCTTCCTGGGACCAGTGAGCTGATATAACGGAAGCATTTCAACCTCAACTCTTTGTGACGAAGACTCACAGAGGGTCGTCACTTTGGCTAAAACATCCCACTTCTTTCAGCCTCTCTATTCCTTGTTTCACGTTCACCAGGACAGCTCCCTTTGTGACCTAAACAGAGCAGGAGAATTCCAGAGAATTCTGGAGAGTAATGAGGAAGTGGAGAAACCCTCTGAAGGTGAAAAATGCATTGCATAAATTTCCTGTGGTAAAGCTGAGTGAGTTTTGGCTCTGTAATTACATTAAGAGCCCCCACCCTTTAAATCAGCAGTTCTAGGTTCCCAAACAATTATCTCACACTCACGCTATGAGTAGTCGGATGTGCTAAGTGCCATTTACTGTTGAATGTAAAAAAGGAGTAATATGTTAAGGTCTTCTGGTTGTCACACAAGGTAACTGGAGTGTCATTACTTTTAGCTTCAAAACCACACACTGTGGGACTGACATTAAGTTTCGATAGGCTTTCCTTTTTTAAGGAAATGAAAACAATGGAGGTATGCAGTTATAATAATTAGGTTGATTTTTGCTACAAACTCCACTGAAAGACAGTCCTATTAATATAGTAAACGTGAGTGCTGAATTGACCTGTGCTGTTTTCCGGACGACCTGGAAAGGGCATGTCTGAGCCTCACCGCAGCCTGGGCACCTGCTCGCTGTGCAGGCTTGGGCAGTTCACAGCCCCTCTGGTCTCATAACCTCACCTGTAAAACGGTTGCAAGTGATCTCTTTTCCTTCAAAATTCTCTGATCCAGTGTGTTTGTGTGTGTATCTGCTCATTTGTTAATTTACTCAAACATTCTTGGGAAAAAGGAAAAAGGGTAAAGTGATGCTGGTTTTTTTGGTGTATTTTTTTCAAATTGATTTTCATAATGGGTAAAATCTTTTTCGTATTGTGATGGACTTTTTTCTTAAACTGAAAATTAAGGAATATTCCTTTAGTTGAAAGAACTGCTAACTAAGTGAATATAGACTCTGTCATGAGCATAAGAAGCTTAGAAGAAAAACCTTATTTGTATCCCAGAGAGCTTCTGATTCCAGGTGGTGGAGTGGCCTCCGTTAAATACATCATCTGTCCACTATAGAAACAAGTGGGGACTAGTGCACAAGTACCAGAGGGAGCAGATCCTTAACGGAAGAGGGATACCATAGCTGGCCAGAGATTTGGCCCATTTCTGGACAGTGGAAATTGAGTGACGCTGTCAACAGCACGATGAAGCTGCGGCCTAGAGTAAACTCAAGTCTGCTGTCGGGGGAGTGACAGCGGTGCCGCTCGGTAACTGCAAGAGGTGCCAGGCTTGGAGTGGCGGGAGGAGAGCATACATCCTCGGGTTCGTTAGGGTCTGCCCGAGAGGAGCTCACCGGTTCTGGCCTCCCCTCCCCACCAGACTCCCACCCCAATGTGCACCAAACAACTGGCCTAAAGTGGCCACCTGCAGGCAAAACCCAGAGGAGGTGGCCATGCTCTGGTCTAAGCGCTTCCCATGTGCAGCCCACGTGGTCCTCACCTAGACCCCCCGAAAGGGTTCAGCTAGTCTCAGTTGTTCAGAGAAGAAAGGGAAGCACAGGAATGTGAAGTAACTTTCTCCAGGTCGGACAGCTGGTAAACAACAACAGTGACAACAGACACGCACACAGCATGGTGGTGTGGGTGCAGTGGTGTCATCGCCCACGAGTGCCTCAGGCGTCCCCTCCCCCCATACCTCCTCCACGGCTCCGTCCGCCAGGGAGGGCTGTGCCTTCCCGGTGTGTGTGGCATTTCATGATGCAGAGGTCTGGAATAAAGGTGGAGCACCAGAGTGTCCAGGACGCGCCAGGGTGGGGCTGCTGCTTCAGTGAGAATTGGGGGAGGGCAGCCAAGAGAAATGAATGGGAGAGAGGGAAAAGGGACTTAAAAAATCGATCTGTAGGATCTGCATTATCTCACTGCCCAGTGTTTAGGAACACAGTTCACCCTGTTTCGGGTTTTCATGGTTGGACTGCCTTCTTTCGGAGCACTTCCCTGGGACTGGGCCACGGGAGGCGATACTTCTAAGCCTCACAGGTAGAAGCCATTTTCCGAGTCATCCCAGGGTGTCACTGAGTGAGAGGGTCCCCGGTCTTGGTGGCCTGATGGGGAGGCCTCGGCAGTAAACCCAGTCGCATCTTTTTGAAGCACTCAGTTTCAGCCTTTCTAAGATGTACTGCTTCAACATTACAGATTACTTGTCCTAACTGAAGTGTAGTTTTTTTAAGACACTAGAATCATCCATACACTGTATAGAATGTCGCGAGCCTTAATTATTGTTTATAGGATACTTTGAAATATGTCTTACAGAATAAACCACATAATGAACACATAATATTCACATAGAACATGGACTACTGGGTGTAGACACACCATCTTTCGCCCTTTGTCTTCTGTTACACTCCGGATATTCCTGATCAGACATAGAAACACACGGAAGGAGGGCTCCTCTTCACATTCATATCTCATCGCAGCTAAATCTTTTTCACCAGTACTCTAAGCAGAGGAAAGTGAAGGCATAACCCCATGTTTTATCTTAAATTTTTATATAAATGTTTAATCTGAAATATAGCCATGCTTGTTTTAATATGAAAATGTTCTAAATCACAAGTTAATTATGCAACCCTCCACCTTTACCCAAAATCTTCCAATAAAATAGGGCAGATGTGAGAGACACTTGTCACGTCTGAGAGGATATCGTCTCCCTAGAAGCAATTGTCTGAACCCCGACACCTTGACTTTAAGTTAGGTGGAAGATACAAGTCAATGTTCTTAATAGTCCTCTAATACTTAATTCCCTTCTGCAGAAAGAAATTCAGTGACACTCCAGTAAAACCATCATAGGAGTTCAAAGAATTTTGAAATCTAAATTGCTGTGAAAGGGGATGGCCCTGAACGAGGATATTTCATGCAATTATGCAGCAAGGACGTGATGGGAACTGTGGCCGGTGCCTCTGCCGGGCGAGAGCCACCTGCCCGGGAAGCTGGGATGAGGGGAGTCCGTTCCGGCTCCCTGTCTGGAACTCTCTTCTTCTCTCACTCTTTCTGCAACAGTTATTTTCGCAGTGGGGTTTTAAAAGCAGGTCTATTGGGGTCAAAAGATTGCTTTATCTTATCTCTGTAGAGTTGTTTCAGGTTTTAAAATTCCTGAAGACAGACTGGGCCTGGTCAGAGCCCTTTGCTTTTTGAGATAATTATTTGGTGAGCTTGCCTTCTTATACGCACCAGCCATTTGTCCTGGATTTCTCAATTCTGGTAAGTATCTGGGTGTGTTTTCTGGGTGTGGCAGAGGTGAGTATAACTCACCTCAGGTGTGGGGAAAGACTGCCTGAAATGGAAATGAAAAGAGGCTCAGCCCCTGTCACTTATTCTGTGCTTA